CCACAAAATGTCAATTCTATTTGACCAAAAGGGGGTGACTGTGGGTGGAAGGAGCACATGGAGTGAAGTTGGGGGTTTCCGGGAGTTGGCACTTAGTTTATTTGGCTTTGCTGCGGTGGACAAAAACGCTGGCAAATATAGAAAATTGAAATAAAGCGAAGAAAACGCCAATGACGTGGATAAATGCCAGAGTGGCAAATTTTCGATTGTTCGCCTGAGAGCTTTTCCCCCACTTTCCACAATCTATTATTTTTTCTTTTTGAGTTTTTGCTATGCTGCAGATGGGTGTTTTTTGTGGTGAGGTGGTAGATACTTTTTGTTTCGATTGCCCAACAATTTAGCCAAATTAAAAAGTCGATTCCGCGGCGCTTGTCACGCGATAACGATTTTGATGACCACCGCGGCGATAACGATGCCAATTGCATGCCTGTCAATATAATTCACGTCATTACGCATACGCACCAGATGTGGAGTCAAAAATTGATATCCAACAAATGGATCATACAGCAAAAAGCCCAGAAACAACCACCAAAAAATACTATATGTTATATATATATATATATATTTTTTTTTTTTTTTTGAGAAGCACTCAAGATCTGTTGGAGATGTGTGACAAAAACGTGGAACATGTCGCTGAACCAGCAACACGAATACCTTCACAAGAGTGCCAACAAATACAAGGACTTGGAACAATAAAAACAACCATATCGACCACCGCCGAAGTGAGCTTTAAATTCACTTAATTATGGAACACACACGAAGTGCATGCCAACAAACTGGGCTAAAAGGAAAAAGGCCAGGCACAAAATGCGATTCATTTCGTTTCGTTTTTCGATTCCGGAGACAATGCGAATGTCCTCGCAAATCATAAATAAAAAAAAGAGGCCTGTACAGAAAGAGAGGGCATCACTCCAACCGAGACGACTGCGACTAAGCCCTCATCTCATCACCTGCCCCAGGTAATTGCAAATCCCAGCGATCTAGGCTACAGTGGTGTGTCCCTACAAAGAACTTAACAAAGAATATTATAAACTAAGGTGATTTAGAAATCACTTGGGTTTTTAAAGCTTTTGAATGCTGTGTAAATTAGTATATTTAGGATTCCAAAAATATGAATGTAGTATAATGATAAACATTTTACATAATAGATTTTAAAACTGAAATATTAAGTGCACTTCATTGTGTCTTTTGATATGAAAATGTTGCCTAAATTTTTAAATATTTATGATTATTTCTATCCCTCTTAACCCACTGTGGCCGCCCGTTCATTGTGTGCACAATTTCGGCATCTCCAAAGCCTCCTCTGTGGCAAACCGACTCGACCAACTGCAGATCGGTTGCATGAATAACAGAAATTCATCAATAAAACATGTGCAGATCGGCGGCGAATGTGGCCAAGTTGCTACTGGCTACTGGCTACCACGATTGTTGTTATTTTGTTGCTGCTGCAACTCTCACGGCACACGTTCGAACGTCAGTCGGGCCAAAAGAGAGAAATCTGGTAGTTGCTTACACAGGGAGAAAAAGCAGCTAACAAAATTAAATTCCAATGAGCTCAATAATAAAAATAATAAAAATAAATAAGTTTTATCATCATAGCTAAGCCAAAAATACACTAAATTAATTTCGGAAAGCAGTGCTATGTTAGTTTTTATCAGATTAATAAATCTTCATACTCGGTTTAAAAAGTAAAAATTTAAAAAAATTTTCCCTTTTTTTTTTTTTGACAATTTTAACGATATACAGAAAATAAAAATTTTGAAAAAAATAAATTTTTGTCGGACATAGCTAGATCGATTCCCCTGTCGATGCTGATCAAGAATATATATGGTTTATAGGGTTGGAAATGACTTCTTCACTGCGTTAAAAGCTTCTGAATAAATTATAATACCATTTTTTGATCCGTTATTTATTTATATTTTTATATGACAAATTTTACAACAATTCAATATTTAAAAAACTCATAAATAAGTCGAAAATACTTTAATTTCAATTCGGAAAGCAGTCCTATGTTAGTTTTTCTCAGATTAATAAATCTGCATACTCAGTTTAAAAAGTATAAATTTTAAAATTTTTGTCAATTTTTTTTTTACCATTTAACGATATAAAAAAATGGAAAAAATTGAAAAAGAATAAATTGTTGTCGGGCATGGCTAGATCGATTCCCCTGTCGATGCTGATCAAGAATATATATGGTTTATAGGGTCGGAAATGACTCCTTCACTGCGTTTTAATCTTCTGACTGAAATTTGAATTCCCTTCAAGGATATAGTATGTAGATTATTCAAAGTATATATGAAATACTCTATTCTTTCTCCCAGTGCATTTGCCCCTGTTGTGGTGTTGTTGTGCTGTTGCTGTTGTCATATCGAATCAGTTTTTGGCTTTCGTCAAACCACTTGGAAATGCAAGCCCCTTTGGATCCGTGGATCCCCGATTCGGAATTTTCAATCAGTTCCAATTGTTGCGCGCCGCTGACAAAGCTTAACCAGAGAGCAGAGCCAGAGGGGGATTCAGGTGGAGGCTGACCAGAGGTGATCCCGAAGAGATCTGGAGGAGATCCAGAGGAGAGAATGGTGGAACAGTGAGTGGCGAAATGCGTTGGACCCCCGGGCAAGTTAGCGCTTTAGCTTGATTTCCCCCTCTCCCGCTACCGATGTATGGCAAAATTTAGTTGCGAACAGATAGATTATCCCGGGGTCTTTGTCTCCCCGACGGCGGCATGATCTACTGGCATATCAATGAGCGGGCGGCGGCGGAGTAGTCCTGGCTGGATGCCACTCCGATCGACTGATCCATGCCGCCTTTTAAGCTGATTGGAGATGGTAGCTGGTAGTAGCTGCTAGCTGGGAGTGTTTTTAGTCGGTGATTGATATGCGCCCGCTGGTGGAAGCTCCCCTCCTGCTGCTCCTCCTCGAGGAATGCGACAATGCCGACAAAAGTTACAGCCCGACTGACAAATGCGACATTGCGGTGGGGATCACAGGTGTGAGCGTGTCACGATAGCTTAATAGGAATACCTTGAGATGGGACACTACCACTATTCAGAGGGTAATTCCTTAATCCAATTGAGGTTTAAAGGTTATTTTTAATAATGAAATCGTTAAAAACCTCTTGATTAATCATGGGAAATTCATAAAGTGTACTATGAGATATATATTCTAAGCCTTAATGCTCTTCTATATCTTCTATATAACGCACGCTGTCATCTCTAAATGGGACTAACTTAAGCTCCTGAGCTGAAGAGTTACCCAACCGGCTAACAAGGCAAATAAATAGAGGAGAAATGAATTAATAATCGTAAATATCAAGCGCAAAGTGTCGCGCCCGGGCACGTGGAGCAGAAGAAGAGAGATAGCCAAAGGGGAAATGGTCAGGAGAAGATCGCCTAGGAGAAGATTCTTCACGATCTAAGATCTTCTCCCGATTGTAACTGTTGTTCCAACGGATGACAGTGGCATTTGGGGCCATTCTGGAGCAACAGCAACACGCAGAGCAATTTTAACAAGATCATAAATGTGCAACGCATGGAGCTTCTGATCTTGCCGAGATCGTGTTTTTTAGTGGAACACCAATCTCCCAATCTGTGTGGCAAGAACCACTTGGTTTTTTCAATTCCTAATTTGCAAGCTGGGGGCATACAATGGAGCGGAAGGTGGACAGTGGCAGGGGCAGCAACCATCGGAGGCAATCAATTAAATTTAATTATGACACCAATTATGGGCTGATTGTCGTCAGGTAGCTGGTCACCACAACCGGTTGCAGACACACTTTTGCTGGCCACTTTAATAATAGAATCATTACGCAGACTCTCCGATCTTGGAGTTTCGAGGAACGCCTTTGTGGGCAGTCCTGGAAATGGCAGTCCCTGGCATGGAGATACATAGGCAAATACTCGGGGACACCCTTCGCCGGAGGTCCGAGATGTGCACGCTTTTACGGGGAATCACACAGAGCGATGATTATCATCTGCATAAGGTGTGCCTCAATTTAATGGGGCCTGGGGACTGGTGGAAAATTGTTTAACAACTCAATGAGTTTGGCGGCAATGACCAAGAAAGGTTTGCACACTAAATGCTCAAATAGAAATCAATGGGGATTGTTTTGCTTTTGTCTCGTTGAAGAAGCTAAACAAGTTGATGCTTGTGGTTGAGTAATTATACCAGACTTGGTCATCTTATAGGGGTGAAATGAAATAATTAAGGGATAGTAATGGAAGGTAATTAAGTTGCTTTTCATATAAGAAGGTTGCAGGTTGCTTAAAATATGAATTTAACAAGTGCAGATGATGCCTTTACTCTTATTTAAAGTTATAGCCTCCTTGAGCTATGCTTTCCAATTTCCTCTCAAAGGATTTCCCAGACTCATAACAATTTGTTTTGCATTTTTGTTTTCTGTCTAATTTCCTTCACTCAAAATAATATTTCCGAAGCCAATTAGAGAGGACACACGCCGGGCCCTGAAGGAGGCGGAGGCGGAGGCGGTGAGGCAGCCGCAAGGATGTGCATACAATTAACATAATTCGCCTGACACGCGACAGTCCTTGGGGTTGCTCACTCCTAGAGAGAGTCCTGCCTGGGGGAGTGTCGGATTGCCGCGAACTCGTCTCAATTTACAATTTATGAAAATAGAATTTGCCGCTGCCATTTTGATGAATTTTTGTGTTGACTCTCCCAGCTGCAACAGCTTCCGTTTCAGTTTCAGATCCTGAAAGGACTGCCCTTCCCCCTTCCGGTTCCTTCGTTCCCTCGTTCGTGGTGCTCTTTGCATGTCTGCCGCATCGTGTTTTATATTGCAGTTGATAATAATGCCAATAAATCAACGATACGCATACACAAGCCGCAGAGCAGAGGCTGGCAAAAATAAAAAGCCAGCGACGATGATGAAAAGCAGCTTAAAATGTCATCTTTTGTGTGTGCGTCCTGGCCAGGAGGACATGGGTTCTGGGGTCCTGGACATGGCTATGGTGATGGTGGAGAGTATGAACTATGACTACTTACCGATCAATAATGACGGGGTCCGATGGCGTCTCGTTGCGGTTACCACAGCTCTTCTTATCACAGCAGCGGCTGAAAAATAGTAAAAAGAAGTGGTTAACTTGAGTAAACTTTATATTAAAGTTGGATTTTAATTAGTATATTCACTATATAGGAAGTTATATATAAATAGGAATGGGTTTACTTGGTATTTAATAGCTTGATGGGGACAACAGTGCGTATACTTAATATTCTGGGGAGGAAACTTGTTTATTAACTGAAGCTTAATTTTGTATCATTTTTTATTGGATCAGACTTAAATTAATATTATGTATTTATATCTGAATAGTCTCTTTATCTTTAGGTAATGAATCTATCTGTCTTTAAGTAACTGTCTGGCTTTAAAGTGTTAACTTTTAAACTCTGTCTAGGCCTTGAATTTAAACATTTTTATAGACTCTTCAAAAAGTATGTTAGAAGTGCTTTTTTTTGGGGTCAGACATTTGTCATTGCTTTGCCGCCGACATAGCCGCACTTATCCTTTATCTGCATCTATATATATGTATATATTCGTGCAACATACATACATAGCATATATCTATATCGAGTTCAATGGCTGCGTAATTCCACGACTGCACAGCCCCGGGGCTGGCTCTAAAAAAAAGAAAGTAAATAAATACAGGAGAGCGGGGCGGGGGGAGAGAGGCTGGGTGGCTGAGGGTCATCCTGGGGGTGGTATTTTTGGCTTGGACCCGGCTTTCGGCCGTATAACATAAACATGGATGACTGAAATGGGCGCAAAGCCAAAGCCAAAGCGATAAAGAAGACGCCACCCTGCTAGCTCTCTCTCTCTCTCGCTCTCTCGCAAGGACTCGAGTCCTTCCAGGGGGAGGCTGCCACCCCCGCTTGGGTATACGCGTGTGCGTTGTCCCCTTGTTTTTGATAATGCTACGCAAACATAAAAACTGGGTGCCAATCCGAAATAATAAAAGATGGCCGGCCAGCAGCAACAAAAACAAGAGCAGGTCCTTGAAAGGGGGGTGAAAAAGGGGGTTTGGCGCCGGCAAAAGCTGTGTAATTTTTTCGTTGTTGTTTGTGCTTTCTCGTGGCTGCTGCTGCTGTTTTTTTTTGCGCCGTTTTTATTTTCTACGCAACCTTCAACTGTCAGAAAGCTGCTAGAAGGGTGAACAGTCGAGGCAGCCCAAGTGTCCTGCGGGGGTGTCCTGCGGGGGAGGCTGGCAGTCAACCATTTATACGTTTCAGCTCGCGTGCGTTTGAGCGTGAAAAAAAAACGAAGGACACTCTCTGGCAAAAGCCGGACGGAGCTTAAAAATCAACAAAATTAAAGCGCAAAGAAAACCCAGGGAAAATCACGGAAAAACGGCCCCAGACAAAAAAAAACAAAGCAAAGCAAATGAGAACTCAGGTCTCTATAATTTGAGTGGCTATGAAACGGAATAGAGCTGGGGGAAAAAAACCAAAGGCAAGACAAGAAAAGGAGGAAAAACTTAAAGAAAGTTGCTCTTGGGAATGCCCGCAAGACTTGAGAGATTTCCATTCGCAAATCAGTTAGAAAAAAGGTGTGGATTGCTTTACAGACCGAGAGGAAGGGTAGTAAAGGTGTGGAAATATTATTGATAAGGACTTAAAGCACAACGGGACTCACCTGCACATCACCTCGTGCGTTAGAAGCACGCGGCACATTTCCGGGTTCTTGTCCTGACCCTCGTATATGATGGCCTGTAAGAGATCATAAAAGGGATATTAGATTTTATATTTTTATAAATCGGGGAGTTATTATGGGGATCTTTATGTACTTAAAAGTAATCTTAAATAAGTCAAGTGGTTTGGGGAAATATGTATTTATTTAGGGGGTGTTCTTCGTACTTATTTTAGGCCTAGGTTAAGGGTTTATTCTATAGTTTTATGCAGGTTTTGGTAATCTAAAATATTAAATAAATACTTGATTCTAAATATGGTAATAGATATCATCACAATTCCTGGTATTCCCCCATTTTTATTGATTTATTCACCTGAACAAAAGCCTGCACACCTAAACCTGACGCAGCTATTAACCCACTGCCATTGACACCCGCCTTAACCCCCATCTTCCGCACCTTTGACCCTCTCACTCTCTGCTTTCCCCCGCCCCCCTGTATCAACTATCATTTTGGGCCAAAAGACAAACACACATAAATGCTAATTACAGGACAACGAAAACTCGGTCCTCCAGCAAATCGACATATGGGACCCAGTGCAAATATTGACAGTGTCCACAATTTTTACCTCCGCATGAATAATATTCGAGGGGCGTATAGTCGCTAGTATTTGAATTTGTATTTATATTTATATTTTGTGTGTTGTGTTGTGCTGTGTTGTGTGTGTGTTTGCCCAGTGAAAACGGCACTCGAACGAACAGTGTTTGTTTGCTTTGTGCGGTGGAAGTGAAGTGAGGCGTGTGGCAGGGACTGGAATCGTGCCATGTGGAAGCTACGGCGACCGCAAGTGCAGCGTTAGACAATCTGCTGCAATTTCCGGGCAACAAAAACCTCTCGAACTTGCCAAACTCTCGAGGAAAATAGATAAACAAATGGTTGTCCTAGGGGGGTGGCACACGAAAAGGCGCATAGTTCTCTAATTTAAAAATGATTAAACCGGGTGTCCTGCCCTCCCTCCCTCGCAAGCTGTGTGTTCCCTGTTCCCCCTGTTAACCGTAATCCAACACTCATCCGGCGAATTAGCTTGGCAAAAACACGGCATATGCGAAGGACACCCAGGACTTCGGGGGGTGAGAGGATCATTCATCAACTGACAGCAAGAGATACACGCAAAAGTAATAACAATAACCTGAGCCGTGTTCGAGTTCATCCACCAAAATGGTAAAAACAAAAAATGAACCAGCAGCAAGGACGTCAAGGACGAGTGGTTCCCTCCATACATATGTGCATTTCCTCGCACAGAAGCTGTGCCCAACCAGATAGATAATCAGAAATTAATTTTAATGCAACCAGCAGCAGCAGCAGCAGCATCAGTACTCTAGAATCCTACCCTTCAGATATACATACATATAATATACAACACCCCATACCACCCGTTGTCTTTGGCATTAGCTGGGCACATGTAAAATTATGATCATCCCTTATTATCCCGTTTGTCAGGTTAATAATTCCCCCCCAAGTCGTGGCCGTAACCTGTAAAGGATCAGACTTTGAGACTCGGCTCTCGATAGCCCCGGCTCAGTGTCCAATATGTGTGTGGGATATCCTAGGAATTACGGCTCGAACTTGTCCCGGACGGAGTGCAGCTAATTATAGGCCGGACAGGGAGATGGGATGAGGATGGCAAGTCCTTTTTATCCCCTTTCGGGGTAATGGATTTTCAATGTTTTTTGTGTTGGCACAGGACATAAAGTTTTTTGTGGTACAACTTGTATTTGTCACCTGTTTATTTTGGAATCTGACCAAAAAGGAGTGGGTTATATTTACTTTGGGGAAATATAGAAGCAAGCCAATTAACATTTAAAATAAAAAGAAAAGTGACCTCCTCTGAAAGCTACATAAATAATAAGCCCCACTTAAACTCAGATAAACTTCTCCCGCCGCCAAATATAAATAAAAAACTAAAATCCCCACTACAAAAAGGATCTGTTAACCTAAAGAGGGTCAAAACATCAGAAATCATCATCCATCATCCTTGCTGGCTGAGGGATACAGAAACAAACAATTAGTTTGTATCTCTAGCCAACCGTTTTTGTGGCCAAAAGTCAGGAGAAGGATTTCAGGAGTCAGGAGTTGGTAGCTGGAAATCCGAGGCTAAATGGCTTTCCTAATAAAAAAACCGGCAAACTAAACGAAAGCCACTAAAACTGGAGTAAAAGCGTTTAAACTACGATTTATCAAAGGGACAAAGAACAGGAGTTTGCAGGAGTTGGAGCTGAAGCAGGACAGAACACAACAGGACGAACAAAAAATGAGCAGAAAAAAGCGAGTGATGAAGTGATGACAGGACCGGCAGTCTGGGGATGAGGAAAAGCGGGTCCAAACAGGATGAGGCGAGGCGGCTTTTAAATTTTAAACGATTTTTCATCAAACTTCGCCAAAGAGACTGAGATTTTTTTTACAGCATTTTTGCAAATTGTTATTATCGCTTTTGGAATAAAATGAATCGACACTTGCTGCATTATTCACGCACTTGAATGCCGAGAGTTGCATGCTTCATGTTGCATGTTGCATGCTGCATGCTGCATATTTAACGTGCCAAATAAAAATCTCGCCAAACAAGATAAATTATCGACGCACAAAAGGGCCACAGCGACTGCGAAAAAATGTTTGTGAAAGGCCAAACAATAAAACAAAAATAATCTGAACAAAAAAAACCTATAGAGAGGGTTGCTCTTAATTTATTAAAGCTTCATTTATCAGGGCAACGCATAAATTGCCCTCGGAAAAAAAGAAAGGAACGCGACATAAAGGTTTACGTTGCTGCAAGGACTCGTGCATCCTCCATGTATGTATTTCGTATGTGTTTGCACCTTTCCGAAAGGGGACGTCATTCCGCTCCCTTCTCAGGCATTTGCATATTTTTAGGGACGCAGGATAAGAATGTCACATTATGTGAAGTGTTATTTAAAGCAAAGTTGGCAAAATATCCTTTAATATACTTAATTGAAAATTTTCAACACACATTTTATTTATTTGTTACTTTGGTGTAGCTTTAAATATAGTAATTTTGTTTATTTTTAATAAAAACACAATTTTCCCAACGCTGAAGATCACAAAAATGTTAAATAATAACGTAATTTACTCAATATCGAAAATGAATCGATAACCTTATTTCCGCTTCCGCTTTCCACCATTTCAGCCATCTACAGGGTGCATCAGGCACACCTTTGCAGAAAACCCCGAGGCCCCCTATGGGAGCCGCAAGAATTTCAAAGGGGCATGCATGCATTACACATTTCGCATAATGAGGCCGATATGCCTGATTTCATACATAATTTTTTTTCGCGCCTGCTTTTGGACCTCTCCTCCTCTGGCCATCTCCCCATCTCTCTCTCTCTCTCTCTCTCTCGCCCTCCTATCTCTCTTTCGACCGCAGAAATGCACTTGCCGTGAAAGCTTTTTAATCGCATTGCGAGCGACAAAGAAGGGTAGATTGGGGTATGTCTGCCGGCCAACAGTGAGAGTGAGGCAGACAGACACGACTGGCAAAATGGCTCCACACACCACACTCACACACACACACAGGCACACACAGGCATGCATGCGAGAGAGATGCAAATGTGGAGATTTCGCGCAATCTGTTGAATTTATTGAGCGGCTGGCGGTGAACAATAATAACACTTTGCCATTAAGCGAGCGTGCACAATTTGTTAATAATCGAAAATGATTCTCTCGCTCTCGGCGTTTTAAGTGTTGACATACAAATTAATTTTATCGCTTAATTAAAGCGCGCAGACAAGTGTGCGAACGGGATGGCTAAAAGGCATTTAATGATGCGCTTTCGTGGTTTATTTTCTTCTTTAACTGCTTAATAACGGGAAATGCTGGTCTTAACATTTACTTGTATAGATTTTTTTTTAAATTTATTTCTATGAATTCTCATATTCATTTTTATTCCCAATATTGTTCTGCGATTTCGGCTCATTAATTGCTTTCGAATTTTTGGGTTGCTTTTCAGCCGGCATGCGTCTATCTTTGCTTATCTCAGTGCATTAATCTTTGGCTGTCTCGCTCGGAACTCAATCCCTCTCTCGTTATCACTGCGCTATCGCCATCTCACTTTTTCGAGTTTAGAATTTCGCTGCGCTTTTATGTGCGTGTAAATCGCGATAAGCGTAATTTTGGCAACAAAACACAGAAAGCGAGGGGGTAAAAGGATTTTCCTATTGTTTTATGCTGGACCCGTGTCCTGATGATGAACATGAAATATGATCGCCGAAATGAGGCGATTTTCCGTGGTTCCATCGTTAGCTCAAATTGCAGTTGCGCCGCCTCCCGTTCGAACTGTAATTCGCTGTTATCTGATCGAATGTAATTATGATTATGACCATGATTTGCTGCATTTGCCTGCCCAACGAGCCACAGGAAAAGGGGTTGCAAGGGTTGAAGCTGGGCAAGGAAGGATGTGGCCACGTGGATGACAGTTGACAATTGTCCTGCCTGCGCGTCCTGTCCGTTACGATTGCTTCCGTTGCCTGAGACGATTGCGTTTCGTCCTGCCACAGTTTCGGGTTGCTCCTTAAATAGCACACACCTTCCCCACCCCCTCTGATAACACTCGCTTATCCCCGCCTTACCTGTTACGCAATCCGATAACAAAGGCGACACGCGACAAACGAAATGTAAAATTCAAAAAAACAACAGCTACAAAAAATAAAGCGGAAGCCAAACCCACCTAATCCGATCAAATGATTGTTCTTTTCCCAGCTTGCGACACTTTCCACTGCGACTCTACTGTGAGTTTTTTCCCTGGACTTAGGGGTAGGTCCTTCAAAAGCGCATCACAAGTCAGGCGGAAGTAGGCAATACAAGGGGAGGCGAAGGAGTGACGATGTGTCCTCTTTTTTGCTGAACATTATTATTATTTTACATCATAGAGAATAGTTATCTATCTAAAGTTTAAAAAACTCATAACTAAGCCAAAAAAGCTTCATTTTAATTCGGAAAGAAGTAATATATTATGTTAGTTTTTATTGGAATAGTTAATCTGCATACTCAGTTTAGAAAGTACAATTTTTGCCAATTTTTGTCAATTTTAACGATGTAACCCCTTATAATTTTTTGAAAAAAATTACCAAAAATTTCTCTCTTTTATGCCTAGAAAAATTTGCCTCTTAATGCTGATCAAGAATATATATGTTTTACAGGGTCGGAAATGACTCCTTTACTTTCTTTTAAGCTTCTGACTGAAGGTGCAATACCATTTTTTAATCGATTAACTATATTTTTATATGAAAATTTTACTACAAATCAAAATGTAAAAAACTCATAACTAAGCCAAAAATACATTAATTTCAATTCGGAAAGCAGTCCAATGTTTTTTTTTTATCTGAATAATAAATTTGCATACTTAGTTTGAAAAGTAAAAATTTTAAAAATTTTGTCACTTTTTTTTTGACTATTTTAAGATGTAAAAAAAATTTAAAATTTGAAAAAAAATAAATTTTTGTCTGACATAGCTAGATCGATTTGCCTGTTGATGCTGATCAATAATATATATGATTTATGGGGTCGGAAATGACTCCTTCACACTGTAAACGTATAAAAATAACTAAATGAATCTTAGAAAATCCGCATTTTGCATGCATTTAATTTCAGATTAAATTCAGTTCAAAACACCCATAAATCCTGAATAACATATTCTAACCTAACCGATTGAAATTTTAAAATATTCCATAAATTTCTGGGTAATTTTTCTAGAGAACTACGCATAAGAAATATTTCCAAGACATAAACCTCAATATAATCAAAAGAAAACACTTTAGTTATTTAATCACTCATCTGGGAAATTTAAAGTTTCCCTTAAAGAGCAATTAGTCTTTATATAAATGAATTATTCTTAATATTTTATAGCTCTATACATTTTGATAAGCTTTGTTAAATACATCAGGGTATCGTCAATGGCGATTTCTTATCAAAATGTATGGAATATTGAGACTTGTTGGGAAACCTCTTAAATTTCTTTGTGTTATTTCTTTTATTTCTTTTTGTTAGATTCAATTGATGGAAAAAAGGGGAAATATTTTTGCGATTAAATTGCATTGCGCACAAATGGTTTTCTCATTGGGAGAAAGGGGACGCTGCTGTCGATAATTTGTGGACAAATTTATTGTGAGCTCGTTTCTGATTCTGAACGAACGAATGAACGGGCTAAATGGGCAAGAAACGCCCACAAAAAGCCGGAGAGAAATTGGAGAAATAGAGAAATCGAAGCCAACGAGGGGGTTAATGGCAAAGACACACACACAGAGGCCAGCCGACGTCTATAAAAATTTGTCACTCGAGAAATTAATTGCCCTTGAAAGGGAAAAAAAGGGCAAAAGGCGGGAGGCGGGAGACGGGCATTAGGCCCACAAAAGTGGACATATGGTGCACTTGGTGAGGATATCGAAGGACTCTCAATCGCCGCAGGACTTGCACGCACCCACAACAAAGCGCATTAACAATGTTCGATCCCCGTGCGATTCTCTCGATTCTCTTGCTTTTCTCGCTTCTCTCGTTAGCTTCGGTCACACCCCTTTGCCACTCTTTCGGAGGGGGACATGGGGAAGAGATGTCCTGCGAACCAACTAAGCGCCTGACGACTCAATTTATTGGCCAGAGGACACACCAGGACACACTTAATTAGCCGTGACAATCAATTTCGAATGCAACTTATGCTCGAATCAGCAAAACAAACATCGGAAAACTGCACGGAAACGCGGCCAAGTGGAAGGAATTAGTTTTTCATTGACTGCTTAACTTTTCCCTTTTAATTTTCCGGCGACAGGAAGTTCATATTAATTTACTTAAGTGGCAAACTCTATGGCCAGATGAATTGCAAAATTTTTCAGGGGGTATTAATAGGTGATACTGTGATGTGGAAATATTTATAGAGATCTTATTTATATTTCTTAAGTAAGCTAAAAATAAACTTAGTGTTTATAGCAGGGTATCATTTTTTTAGTCAAAGGCTTGAAACACAGAGAAGGAATTAATTCCGACCCTATAAATCATATATATTCTTGATCAGCATCGAAAGGGGAATCAATCTAGCTATGTCCGACAAAAAATTTTATTTTTTCAAAATTTTTATTTTTTGTACATCGATAAAATGGTAAAAAATGGGAAAAAATTTAAAATTTTTACTTTTTAAACTGAGTATACAGATTTATTAATCTAATAAAAAAAACATAGGACTGCTTTCCGAATTGAAAGTATGGTATTTTTGACAAAGTTATGAGTTTTTTAAACATTGAATTGTTGAAAAATGTTCATATAAATTATAAATAAATAACGGTTCAAAAAATTGTATTATAATTTTAGTCGGAAGCCCAAAATGCAGTGAAGAACCCATTTCCGACCCTATAAATCATATATATTCTTGATCAGCATCGACAGGGGAATCAATCTAGCTATGTCCGACAAAAATGTATTTTTTTCAAAATTTTTAATTTTTTTACATCGTTAAATTAGTAAAAAAAATGGGAAAAAGTTTAAAATTTTAACTTTTTTAACTGAGTATGCAGATTTATAAATCTTATAAAAACTAACATAGGACTGCTTTCCGATTTGAAATTAATGCATTTTTGGCTTAATTATGAGATTTTTAAATATTGGTTTGTTGAAAAAATTGACATAAAAATATCGATAAATAACGATGCGAATATTTTAAACTTAATTATGATCTCTTGCCGAAACGATCCTCCCATTCAATTGTAAACTGAATATAATTTATGACTTTTACTTACAGTCTATTTAAAGCCGACTCTGAACATTTCATTAATCCGATCTTACCCAGATTTTATCAACTGCCTTTAAGTTGATATTTAACATATCCCCAAAACTATAATTTTTTCGCAACTTACCTGCTTGGTCACCGAATCAATGAGTCGCACGAATATATCCTGCTCCTGTCGGGCACCTATAAGAAAAAATATAAATATGTAAATATACAAATATAGTTTATAACTTAAAGAGATCCCCCTCACCATTGGCGTAGAGCAACTGCAGCCGGTACTGGATGCCATTGTTCGTCTTGGTGGCATCCGACTCCGAGTCCTTCTCGATGAACCCAATGAAGGCTGTGCGCTCGATCTCAATGGGTTGTCCTGCGCGATCGTACAAGGCGATGACGAAGTGGAAGAAGTTTGACTTGCGCAAATTGCTGGGCGGCTGCTTCTCAAAGTGGGCGCGGCCGATGCCCAGACTGCAATGGGAAATGGAGAAAAACCAGGATGGAAATTAGTGAAACATATACATATGTATGTTATGTAGTGGGAGGATGACAATGGTAATTATGCAATTAGCTGGGTAAACATAGAGCAGGCCTAAAGAGGCTCTAATTGGCTCTGGAGGACGGCGAGAGATACTCCGGTTTAGTGGCCGGAATTAGGGACAACTCAATTACGGTAGAGAGTGACATTCAAGCAGGAGCAGAAGCAGCAGCAGGAGCAGGACTACACACAGTGACAACTATCATTAAAAGCGCATAAGCAACTTCAACGTGACACAATAATCCTGATGTATGACAGTCCCTTGCCCCGCCTACACTTGAAATATTTTATATGCGCTTGTTACAAATATATATATATATATATATATATGTGGGCCAGGACACACTGACGGCAATTATCCTAAGGACACGTGGACACTGAGCCGCAGACGGTTGAATAAAGGCTTGTCCTTGTCCTGGCCATATGCTAAATGTCGGACTGACCCCATCCTTTTGGCCCTGTCAGCGGACAATTACCGGACAATGTCGAGCAGCAGGACTAAGGTAGGGTCCTGCACCTTGTCTAACCTTCTCCTTCTCTCACTCCCCTTGCTGCATAACGAACAATTTAATTTAGAAAATGCTGATTTTATCAGATTTTTTGTATTTGCGTTACTCGCATTTCCTGCACTATTTATGAGTGTTTGTGCTTCCCCTGTTTGCCTAGGCAATGTCAAGGAGCATTTCCTGGCCCACTGGCTCGAGGGTCCTGCAATTATATACACATTTGCCAAAGGATAATGCCAGCCATCAGCTAATGACAGGGGACTCCCCGCACTCCACCACTCCCCCAAACGAATTGTGCAATCGAATTCGAGGGAATATATGCGTCCTAGTTATTAAATAAGTAGTTGGATATCCCCGTGGACTCAAAGGACAATTTTATCTGCGTTTTTCTGTTTGGATTTAGCTTTTGCCTCTGTAGTTTTCAATAGTTTTGATTGCCTTTCAACTTTGATGGTTGATTTTCATGATTCGCAGAACGGCAATTGGTTTAAATGGTAATTAAGTCGAAAGACTTGGATATTATATATATTTAGAAGCATCGAAATTTCATATACTTAAAATCCTTGTTTAATAAATTTTAAATAAAATACAATTAAGTTACGGGTAGGTCATTAAACCACTTAATTTCATATAAAGTAATTTCGTATAATATGTTTCTCGGATATAATGCCTTTTGACAGACTGCGAGTGATTTAGAATACGAGTTTCCCAGCGAAATAAAAGACATTTCGCGGTGCTAAAGTTGATTCACCCACAAGCCGATATCAAATTAAGAGGACAGTCAGCTTTTCCGAGGGGGGAATGCGATTTCCACCGCCAAGAGGAGGCACAAGTGATGGGAGGAGGATGGTGGAGCTTTCCGACATATAAATGCCAGACATGTTACATTCTGGTGAAAGGTTATTGTTATGGCCACGGTGCGGGGCGGAGAGTGTTCGGAAAGTGAGCAGCAAAATAATGTCGAGTACACATCCTGGCAAATAAAAAACTTGCCTGAAAACTCCAACTCCTACCTACCACCTAAGCACCCCTCGCTTTTCCCCGGATCGCTTTCTTTCTTCTTTTTTCTGTTGGCTTTTCAACTCGACCGGATGGAAAATCGTTTGGCGGCAGTTTGCCAGCTCACTTTGTTTGCACTTGCCGCCAATTTGCGAGAGAGGAGCAGCTAACATCGGGGAAAAAAATGAACGTGGGGAACATTTTTGTGGCCGTTTTGCTGTTGATTTTATTATGCCAACATTTAATTGTCGCAAATCGATGCCCAGGTGGGGCCAGCCGGGAAAAGGCGGGGGATGAGCCAGGGGGTCCAGAGGTGGTGCCTCGACTCGTGGTCACGTTTTGTCTATTTCTGCACGTGAAAAGCTTCTTTCCACACATGGCACTGGACTCGTGGGGAGTCCTTTAAAAGGCAACTTTATTTCCGGCGATATCCTGACTCAACTCTGGCTGCTGGTCATTGTTTAAGGACACTTTACGGCCAACTTGTACTTGGACTTTGAGAGCTCGTTCCGTGGGCAATCTTTGTTGAAATAAATTTTCGAATATTCCCTTGATTTATGAGCGGCGACAAGAAGTACAACACACAATTGTGTGTGCTGTGTGTGTGTTGTGTGTGCTTTATGCACTTTGTTTTACAGTGCAACACATTGTGGTTGTTCCAGTTAGATGTACAGATAAGTGTTTAAAATAAATGGCTGGCCACAAAAACATATTGAACAATTATCGGCCAACTAGGAGATTTATTTGTCGCAAAACTTCCATTCACAAGAAGGGAAAAATGTTAAATTTTGCAATTTCAAATTGTAATCGGAAAAGTTTGGGATTATGGAGAGAGCGAAGGGAAGGGGCTAAGTCGCTCTGGGGACTTATGGGGCATTATTTGGGATTATTAATTGAGTAAATGCAATTATTCAGAAGTTGTTTGAGCTTCTAGACTTTGTTGTTTGTAAATAAACAAAGGGATAATGCAGTAGGTATTCATAAATATTATTATTATTATTAAATCCAGATTGTATATGCTATGTAAACAATTCTAAAATGATTTCAAGCCTTTTGGTTCGCATTAAACAATATTGATGGAAAAGTATAAACTCTTATTTAGTGAGTATTATACTTTAAAATATGGACTATTTTGTAGAAATATTTTAGATATATTCTGTAACATTTTAGATGTTTTTAAATCACTTCACGTAAATGCAATGTTTTTATTTTTAACCTTTAAACTCTTTATGATATGATAGCTGGCTGGAGGTGTTTTTTAATACTTTTAATTGTGACTATAAATTTGATTACTTTCTCAATTTATAAATATTTTTGGAATCTTTACACTTGATATTTATTTTATTAATTTGTTTAAAATTCTTTATTAGGTTAACTTCTCCAATTTATAGCCCCAAAACTTTTCAAACACACACACAGCATTTCCCCCAAGTTTTTTTTACCTCGTTTCACAGCGCATTGTCTTAGAGCCTAAGTTTTGATTGTGATCCTGATTAAGATTGTCCTGTCTCTGATGCTGGTTATGGTCACCCAGATGGTGGTGTGGGTGTGGGTGTGGATGCTGCTGATGATGATGATTTGCCGCCGCTGAATGGACAAAGCCCGCTGTCATTTCGCTTTCGCTTTCCGTTTGGGCAACTCGCGCACTTCTTCTCGGCGCGAACATCTCACGCCAGAAACATCTCAAACGCAACTAAACAAACAAGGAAAGGCAAAAGGAAAGCGAAAGCTTTTCCCAAGCAACCCTCCCGCAGAGAGAGAGCATCCCTTTGAGCTCAAAGGCGGCATCCATTGCCTTTATCCCCCGCATCAAAAGTCGTCCTCAGAAAGCATAAGAAGGAAAAGTGGAAAAGTGCGTGAGCCACGCACTTTGAGTGGTTTTTTCGAGTGAGTCTAGGGCTCTGAATGGACTTTGTTTTGGGGTTCATCCTGGCTACGTCAGGAGGTGGAAGCGGGTGCTTTCCGGGGTTGGACGCCATCAAAAGAACCCCATCCCGCATCCCGCATCCCGGCTGACTGACTGACTTACTACGTTTCGGAATCGCTCCCCCAGGAGACTTTATATATCGTTGGACACGATGCCGGCTTTTGGCTTTTTGTTTGGCCAAAAGTAAACAAACGCACTTTTACGTTTTGGAGACTTTCTTTTGCTTGGCCTAAGAGTGTGTTGCCGCAACATTGTTGCGGAGACTTTGAGGCTGGTGGAGATTGGTGGTGGAGAGGCTGGTGGAGATTGGCCAAGGTGATTAATGGAGAGATTAGAGGGAGGATTAAGGAGCATTTCATTGAGCCTTCTATGAGTCACGATGTCAACGGTGGGTGTTAATTAGGCCCCAAAGAATGGGGATTTCCTTTTATCCTGGGAATGTATTTACCTATTCCTTTTAGGGGGACTTTAGTTGAGCCTTTGTTGAGCATTTCACGTGTGTGTTATGGTAATGGGTAACAAGAATGGGCGAAGGGTTAATGGGTATTTATTATTTATAATATTCTAGAGAACCGGGACTACCATCTTCTATAAAATTGTATTTAATAGAGATCTAAAGCTAGACTATAACTGTATGCTTTATTATGTTGATTAGCTATAAATGAGTTAGTTTATGGGAATGTATTTATTTCTTTGAGTTGAATCAAAACTAGGAATACTCCATAATATTAATCCCTTTAAACATATTTCAATAGACACTTTGACCAGATCCCCATTATATTATAGATTCCCCTTCCTATGAGGTTGTTCTCAATCCATAATATCTTTCTATATGACAAAGTTATCACTAATCACTAACTTCTTCTATAATTCTTTCTCACATTTAAACACTTGAAAGAACACCATTTTTGGTTCACTTTAGGGCAGAATTTCATTCTGGAAATTCCAGTTTCCCCTTACTCTTAGTCTTGTTTGGCACTTGGTTCACTTGCAAGATCACTTGTCTTTTAGTCACTTGCAGGCACAAGGACCCCTGACTTGACCTGACCTGACCTCTGCTGGCACTTACTTGCTCTGATCGACGACTGGCTGCATGGCCCACCGGCTGCCCAGGGGCTCCTCCTTGAGGGACGTCATCGGGCCGCGCGGCTGGTTCATATCGGCGGCTGTCGGTGGCAGGCCGAACATCAAGCCGCCGGCGGACCTGGGGCCGGAGACGGCGCTCGGATAGAGCTTCCGGCCCCACTCCATGCCCAGCTCCAGGGTGGGCCAGGGGGAGGCCGAGCTAAAGCCCGGCACCGGCTCCTCGGAACGCAGCTTGAAGCCGTCGGCGAAGGGATGCGAATGCGGGTGTGGATGCGGATGCGGATGTGGATGCGGATGCGGATGCGGATGGGAGCTGGGATAATGCTGCGAATGCTGGTGGAGATCAGCGTACGAAGCGACTTCGGCGCCGGCTGCTGCTCCTAATCCTGTGCTGCTGGAAATTGTGGCTGCCGTTTTGATCGGTTTCCTGGGCTTTTCCGGGAATTTGTGTTTTGTAGGTTAGGTTTGGGCTTTGGCCTCTTTGAGTCTCTGGAGGAATGGCAATCACTTTTTTTCGAACCACTATTCGCGAACGTATGTGTGTGTGTGAGTGTGGGTGTGTGTTACCAATGCACCACTGAGAATTTGGGATTTTCGGAATCGGAAAATTTCTCGAGCCAAAATGTTGAACCGTCCCGAGTGGCTGCTAAACCCCAACTGAATCCTCGCCAGCGATGATGCTTTCGAATCGCAAGAAGCAGCGGCAGCGGCTGCCGTCTGCCGTCTGCCGTCTGGCGGCTGGCGACAAACGACCAATGAGAGTTTTGGAAACGAAACGAGAACGAGCCTGCGCCACAGGATAGCAGAGAGGGTGGCGGGCAGCACCAGCACACGGGGGGTGGGGGGTGGCCAAGTGTGGTGCGGCCAATCCCATGGAGGCCTCGAGGAACTGTCAGCAAAAAACCAACCACCGTCAGCTGCAAACAAGGTGAAAGCGAGAGCAAACCGTACTCGCTCTCCTACTCTCTCGCTCTCTCTCTCTCTCTCTCTCTGTCTCTCTGTTGCTCTTAATTGTCCCATAGGAACGCGCTGCAATGGAACGTCTGTACGGTTCCCGAGTCGAGGGGGCGTGTGTTGTTGGCCCAGGATCTCAGCTCGGAGCTCGGAGCTCTATTCCCAGGCTCAGGCTCAGTCTCAGGTTCCTTTTGCCCCCCCCCCCAGCTGGGAGACCAAGTGTCAACACGCCTGTACATGCAAAAAAGCGCTAAACGCAAAACCAAACTCCCTGGCGAGATCACAAAGGAAGCGAATTGTCAATGCATGTGGGGAGTGCAGGATTTATACCTGGAAAGGTCACCTTATATTAATAATACTACATGCCACAGTGCTGTGTCACATCCTAGTAGGTCTGCTAAGTAATTTTTTAGACATTATTTTAAATTAAGGCTTCTAAAATTCAGTGGTTTTCAGTTTTGGGTCTTTCAAATAGCCAGTTCTGGGCAGAAAGGTAGCCAAGTTTGCAACACTGGTGGGGTGTGATTTGAAAATGCCACCTGATTGGTCAGTCAGCATCAAGAGAGTGTCGGTTTTCCGGTTTTTCTCTTCAAGCCAGTTTGGCTAAGCAGTGCAAGCAGTGTGAGCGGAATGAGTGGGATTAAGTGGAACTAAATTCCACAAAAATTAAAAAATAAACTATTTAAAATTTAGAAAATTATATTTTCTATTTTTTTGTAGAAGTAATTTGTATTAGATGTAGATAAAATGGCAGTGTAAAGCTTAGTAGTTTCTCATTACAAATAATAAATAATAGGAGATATACAAATATTTATAGACTTTATAGTTCTCAGTTGACTAAAAATAATTTTATTTTCTTTTCCATTGAATATGAATTTATTTCAAATAATAAGTGTTGCTTTGAAACCAATTTTATTACTAAAATTGTTAAGAGATTGTTAAAAACTTATTAAAATGTGTTTTAAATATTCTTGAAAACCTAGAATTAAATTTTCCTGTTATTTTGTGGAACAAACTTCACCCTTAACCCCTTTGTTGCCACACATTTGTTGTGTGCACAAAGTTGATTAGTCATCATTTTCGGGTTTAACCCTTCTGACTTTCGCACATTATGATGATCCGAAAAGCAAAAGAAGTTGTCAAACACTCGCTGGAGTACCTAAGATTTTCCATTTTTCCTCTACTCTTTTCCTCTCACGGATTAGTTACCGAAACCGCCCACAAAATTTTCACGCCTCGTTAGGAGAACAAAAAGTGAAAAGGTCAAAGGGGATGGGCTGCTTCCCGGTTTTTGGTTTTCGGTTTTTGGTTTTCAGGTTGAGGTTCAGGGACTCGGTCGGTGCTCGGGGTTCGGATGAAAAACAATTTGCATTTTCCGCATTTGCGGTTTCTGGCTGTGACCAATTGAATGAGCGAGGAGAGTTTGACCCAAGAGTTTGTTTGACTTTTCCCTGAATTAATTTGAGGGGCGTGGTAATCTCATTAACTTCTGACGTGGCAAAAGAAACTCCGTTGGCTCTGGAGTTTTTCTTCCTCCAACTCCACTTGTTGGTCTATTTTTGAGAACTTCTCTGGCAGCATTTCCCCAGAGCGGCGGAAAGAAGAACAACATTTTATTTTATGTTTAAATCAGAGGCGAATAAGAGCAAACAGAAGATGTCCCCAGACATCGCTAATTAACCAAAATATCCCGAAGGAAAAGCCGATATTTATTTATTCTTTTTCCTTGGCCCGAAAGGTGAGGAGGATTCCCCTTTCCCTTGATCCAAAAATGTTCGATTAACCCCTTTTATCACGCCTAATTCTCGGCGGAATTTCCCGGGCCGCGACAGCTGTCACGAGGAGGATTGGACCCCTTAACCCCACAACAGCACCAGGCAACCTTAACCCCTTGTTTGCCGGAATTGGTTTCAAATTGTTTACAATTGCATTTACATGGCACTGGACTTTCACTTAGAGTCCAATTCCTAAATAATTTGCCCTTATTTCTGGTTTTATTCCTACCCCTCAGCCTGTGGCAACTTGAGGGATTAGTGGCAGGACTCGCAGGACACTCTCTCCCATCATCACAATGACAATTGGACGTCAATTAGTCAGGGGATTGACTTAGGAACCGTAGAAAAGAAGGGGGAGAATCGTAGGCATTGGTTTAATTTTAATTTAATTAACCATTTTAATTATACATTTTGTTTACGTATATTTATGATATAAAGCCAAATTCAAAGTGGAAACAAATCATTGATGGAACTTAAAAATAAATTGTTCTTTTTCAAGTGCCCTCATATAGGTTTTAAATTCCTATTTCCACAATTCAAATATCCTGTTTTCCCTTAGCGATTTCCTCTACCGAATCCTTTTCTTCCCATAAGTCCTGCATCCCTAACGCCATCTTCAAAGGACCATGAATAATTTTAATATTCATGGCGGAGCCAAAAGAGACGCTCCAAGACTCGCATGTAAATGTCCCATTTGTCACTCGTAAACAAAAAATGAAATATAAAGTAAAAATAAAAAGGAAAGGAAAATAAGAAACCGAATGGCAGACTCAACTCTGTCCATATGCAAGACATTCCCAGCTCAGTCACATTCACAGGGTCATAAATAAAAGGCGAGCGAAGGAAATTTGAGGCGCGAACATTTTAATTAGTTTCCCCTCTCGAGTGTCCTTTGCCAGGACACTTATGCAAATTACCCCGAGCCCGTAGCCTAATGAGAGGGAGAGGCTAGCCCAGAGCTAACACACCGTGAAAATAAATCATATTGGTTACAGTTCGAAAAGAGATTTCCTCTCGATTTCCACGAGTCATCATCATCATCGTCATCAGCATTGTGGAGGAGAATTCAGGGGAAATCCCTGATAGTTCCTTAGTTTCTATTCTCCATGGACCTTGTGACAGATGCCAGAGATCCATCTCCTCCTCAGTTGCATTGTCAGCGATCGAAAGACCACCAAAGTTCTCCCATTCCCGGGAATTTCAACGCTCCCAAACCCTTAACCCAAAAGCTAATGCCGCACTTGCCACAGTTTAAAGTGCGATTTAAAAAAAAAACGAAACCAGCAAGTGCTCAAGTGGACTCGAGTGGCACGTGGCTGGGCAAGTAAATTTAATTAAATTATCTCAAACACGTGTTTGACCAACTGCAACGATTTTAGGTAAACAATCGCAACCAGTTCAAGTGTTTGCCCAAGCCACCGGCCTAAACGTTCTCGTGAGGGTAACTCTTAGGAACAAAATAGAACCAAAAAACAAAAAGCAAAAAGGGATTCGTTTACATAAGAACAACAAGCGGGAGGAAGGCTTTAACAAAATAAACCTTTCTTCAGATTTATTATTTCAATAAACACAAGCCAGTGAACGCAATGAACTTCTTCCCACAAAACATAATTTCGCACATCCTTTTCATCCTCCTCCTGCTTGACCTGAGGAACTGAAAAACTCGTTTCGCTTATAAAAATCACAGAAAAAATCTGAAATATTTACAGACTGCAGCACTCTCAGCGATCTGAAGCTCTCGATAAGCATTTTTGTGGCTGGTGAAAACAACATTGCCTTATTGATATGAAATTATTTTTCAGCCTGGCCAAATATGTGACTTCCCCAACGCATCAAATTCGAGATTGGAAAAACCCGCCAGAGGTTCATTAACTTGGCCAAGACTAAAGATTGATTTGACGCGTAAGTAAAGTTAGCCAAAAATTAATTACTTAAATGGTGAAATATTTTTAACATTGTGATTGATTGATATTTGAAGTTGTTAAGTGTGTGGGAAAATAATACATTAATTTGTTTTGAGATGCGAACAACAAAATAATAAAATGGGAAATTTAGAAATAGGGTTTAAATAAAAAACGTTCGATATTTAAAGCTTCGAAAATTCATAACTAAGTCAAATGTGGATTGATTTCAATTCGGAAAGCAGTCCTATGTTAATTTTTATTAGCTTAATAAATCTGCATACTCAGTTTAAAAAGTAAAAATTTAAAATATTTTGTCAATTTTTTTTACCATATTAACGATATAAAAAAATGGAAAAATTCGAAAAAGAATAAATTGTTGTCTGAAATGGCTAGATCGATTCCCCTGTCGATGCTGATCAAGAATATATATGATTTATAGGGTCGGAAATGGTTTCTTCACTTAGTTTTAAGTTTCTGACTAAAATTATAATATCATTCTTTAAGCTGGTATTTATTTATATTTTTATATGAC